AATATTTTACATTGTAATAATATTTCACAATATTACTATTTTCACTGTATTTTTGATCAAATAAATGCAGCATAAATGCAAAAGAAACTTTTTAGAAACATAAAAAGAAGAAAAAACAAACTTCTGACCAGTAGTGTGCATATACATATACATATATATATATATATATATATATATATATATATACATGAACTGTTGTATAAATATATATATAAATACACACACACAAACACACACACACATATACATATATATACACATACACACATTTTTTCTAATTAAATTTTGCTCGGTTTATGCTCAAAAAAATTGCCAATGAATAATAATATAAAACATGATAAGATATAGTAACTATAACTTTAAGATATAGTCTTTGAAAACAACCTTATATTAAAAAAAAAAAAACTGTGATGAGCTGTGCAAAATAAATAAATAAATAAATCAACAAAAAAGTGGGATGCAGTAACATGTTTTATAATTAAAAAATATAAATATATCTATCTATTTAATAAAGAAAACATAATTAAAAAATACAATAATAAAAATAAATCTAATTAAAATGCTATAATCATAAGTATAAATTATTTATTAATTATAAATATATTTAAACACATAAGATATTAATACAAATAAATCAAATTAAAATACACTAAATTCTATAATTATAACACATTTCACATGTAAAGCAATGACAGAAATCAATTTTAACTCAAATCTCCCATGTGCTTAAAAAACGAGGTTCTGTACAGGGCACCAAATCAGTCACCAATGATGCTCCCTTGGAAGACAGCTGCCTATCTAGGCAGTAAACATCAAAGCAGTTCACTATGTTTGGGGACAGAGGTACAATCACAGCCACATTCAACAGGATTACAAATGTACAGTCTTGATTTGACGTGACGCCCCATTAGCAGCACAGAGTGACCACAATCAACAGCTCAAAGGAAGAACCTTTGCCCCTGTCATAGAGAACCAGCTGTATAATGGAGCAGAGACCAATGTAACAAGCCCACAGCTCTGACAGAAATCCATATTCACTTGCACATGTCAGCCTCACCTTTGTATTCATAGTTGAGGTTCATGTAATTGTTGTCCCGGTTGTTCTGGGAGAATGGCGGGCTGTGGAAACACAAGGAGAGAAGGAGAGATGATGGGTTATTTTTGCTTGTTACTCCCTTGTGTGCAGTGTTGAGGTTGGGACGCACCGTTTGCCTGGCCTACATTCCTGCACTGCACAGTCCCCGACGTGCCAATGTGACCGCCTGCCACCTGTCGTTACATTGAGGATGGAGAATTGAGATTTTCTTTACCTGATACCTGACCCGAGATAGTAACGTCTGACCATTCATCAGAGTTTTGTAAATTTCTGAATAGTGCAACAAAAGCGTCAAGCATCAGTCAATGCAGTGACCCCAAAAAGTGACATGTAGGCCAGCATCTAGAATACTCAAAAAAAAAAAAAAGGCATCTGCAACAAATAATGCTAACATTTTTACTTAATAAGCCTTTTTGCTTTTATGTGGTGGCGATAACATTTTTAGCAACAGGATATGCTCCATGGTTTTGGTTTTGAATTAAAAATGCTATCGTTCAAAAGTTTGGTGTCAGTAAGATTTTATAATTTTTTAAATAAATGTATTCTGCATTCAGTTGATCAAAAGTGAGAGTAAAGACATTTATAATGTTACAAAAAAAATCTATTTCAAATAAATCCTGTTCTTTTGAACTTTCTATTCATTAAAAGAATCATGAAAAAATGATCACCGTTTCGCATATTTGCAGGCTGAAGTTAATCATAATTAAAATTTTATATGCTTGTATATCTGCTCTCACAAATTTCTTTTTGTTTCTTTTTTTAATGTCATTTCACTTAATATTTCATTTAATTAAATTGCATTTGCATAGCATAGCATATAAGCATAAAAATTCCTTTCTTAAAAAGTAAATTTTTATGTTTTCAAGTTCTCAGTAATGGCTCAGCTGGTTATGCAGAAAACCGATTCAGAAACAGATTAATCATATTTTCCAGGCAAACAAAGTCCACACGAACGCGGGTATTTTCAAAACCGCAGCTTTTTCTATGCGGTTTGGCCGTTCGTCCACACGCAAACGCAGCACCAGGTCACTGAAATGGAACATTTTTGAAAACTCCTGCCAGGGTGAAAAAAAAAAGATTTTTGGCTTGTGACGTCGGAGCATGCACTGTTATCTCAGCCATAGACATAATAAATACCTAGACGCCTTATTGGCCGCTCGACCGCACGTCAACGTCGCCTCCATATTGGTGCGGGCAACTCTCATATCGGGACAGGCGAAAACATACCTGACTCGTCGGCAGCTTGGGCATCTACAAACCGTCGCACAATAATAAAAACAGATCTCGGGGTATTATCTTTCACAGGTAAGACTGAACAGTTGTTTCTGTATGTTTTTTGGTCATTTTTAGCTTTATGTTGACAGCTTAATTAGCCACCAGTGTCAGACTATTAATAGCTTGCGATATCGCTAGTAAGCTTACAGTCATTAATGCATTCAGTGTGAATTTTAAACATATTTCTAAAAGAAAACCAATTATAGCTTTATCAAAAAGCTGTAACATGTCTCTAGAACAGACATAAGGCAAAATAATCACTAAGTAAAGGTGTAACAAACTGTGTCTAGAATAGACATATGGCAGAAAAAAAAAAGCCCATGTCCAGGGATTTTTTTGCCATGCACTGGTCATAGAGCTCTTTGTGGCGTTGCCTCAGATGTTGAACTAGATTTGTTGCGCCAAGTTCACACGTACTCCGTCTGCAGTGCGTATACAGTATGTGTATGAAAAGTGCACTTTTCCTTGTTTTAAATCTAGTCAAAAAGCCATGTGTTGACTGTGAAACAGTAGACTTTAATTATATGCATTTATGGTGTAATTACTAAATTTCCGTGTCAATCCATGTTAATTTTTACCACGAATAATGCACTGTCACTTTATTTCAGCGCGTGCAGCACAGCAGAAATAGACTCCGTGCGGAAACGATCGCAGCATGACGAACGCACTGGAGCGCACTGCCGGACCGCAATCGCGTGCAGTGTGAACGCTCTGATCCGTTAACATGGGCGCGGAAAAAATACGCACCACAGACGGAGTGTGTGAACCTGGCGTTACGTTTGTATGCCCGCCCGGTCTGTTCTGTTCTCGTGCTCCATTTAGGCGCGCTGCATTCTGATTGGTTCGGATAGCATACTGCGGGAGGTCGGGGGCGTGGAAAATCGTGCTATAAAGCGATTTAGAAATCGTGCAAGCTCAAATCGCGATTTTATGACGATTTCGATTAACTGCACAGCCCTACTTCATAGCATGCATTTGCGTTTTCATTTGGACAGAGATTTTTTAAAAACAGAAGGAGGAAAAACTCGAAGGAAAAAAAGTTTATAAAAAATACCCGTGTACGTGTGGACATGGCCTAAATTCAATCTGCCATCACTCACTCAGCTGTGGGTAGTTAGACAGCAAAGGTTTTTTTTTTTTTTTAATCAACGTGAGCTGTAGCTAGTAGGAATGAAATAACACTGAAGACTGAACAATGAAATAAATAGCACATGAGAATGAAATAACACTGATCTTGGATTGCCTCTGCCAATCAAGATGCCCAATCAAGATGTGTGCTTAGAGTAGACATATATCAGCAAATCCCAACCCTTTTCATTTGAATAATATGTATTTCGGTGTGAAACAGGATAATCAACAAGAAAGAAATGACGAGCAGGACTTGATTCCTTTTAAAGGGGCGGGGTCTAATAAGAGGACTTGATGATGTCAGCTGAAATATAAAGTCATTTAAGAGGTGGAGCAACTTTTTATTATACTTTATTATTTTTATTAAATATCAGGAAATAAGACCATCTTACGTTCACAGAGAAACCACCAGGATAAATTAGTTTTATTAAAACAGTAATTAGGAACGATTATGATTATACGATTATAATGTTAACTTTAAGATGCAAACAGCCCAGTTTCAATTCACCTTACAGGAGCCGTTTACTAAAAAAAAAAAAACTATTTTTGGAACTCTTACAGGCAACGGCAATACCAAAAAAAGTCATGAGTTAATGCGCAGAGAGACATAAAGTGATTGTTATTGCCCCAACCCTGTTATCCCTGTCTGACGGTGACGTCAGTACTGAGCAGGGGAATCGACGAGACCCCGGATAATGGGCACACACACACCCGTATGAGGGGAAAAATCTCCATGCACTTGTTTCCTTCCATTGTTCTGAGGGCTAAAAGCCAGATAAGGCTTGTGCAGGTAGCATGGTTTTCCCTTCTCTTTCCCTCTCTCGCTCTCTTTCTCACTTTCCTGTCTTTCATTCTCACTCTCTCTTTCCCCTGTGTTTTTTTTTTCACACTTCATTATTGACTGACTCTTTTTATAACAATAGTACACAGGCAACAGAAAGCAGAATAGATTGGTGAGATCAACCCACTCTCTCTCCATCATTCTCTCTTTCATTCTCATTCGTTCACTCTCTCTGAACAGAGCAGAGGCGGAGAGCGATAGCACTGGAATCCAGGCGTCTAGATAAGCAAACTGTCGCCATGGTGACATCAAGGGCTTCCTGGTTGGCCTTTGTGACGACCCGATTCCATTTCCTCTCTGGGCAGCTGGTACGTTTATCAGATATCCTTACCCGTAATTATTATAATATACTCATTAAAGGTGAAGTGTGTAATTGTTTGAACATTAAAAAACATTCTTCCATCTTCCAAAAACATTCTTCCATTTAAATGCAGACAACTATAAATAAGGCATTTTTAGCTTGATTTCATCATCTAACTACAAATAGTGACAATACTAAACGGCATATTTCAGTAACGTGACTGTAGTTCTGCTGCTTTTAAAACAATGCCCAACAACTAGTCGATTAGTGAGGCTATTTTTTATTCGTTTTGATATTTTTAGTGGCTAAATACTGAAAATGTAAATAAAAATAAATACAACTGGGAAAAACCAACACTAAACTAAAATACATTTTCATGACTCCAATAAACTAAACTGAAATTTAAAAAAATCCCAATAATATATATTTTTTTTATATATATGTATTAAACGATACGTATTAAAAACACAGCGTTTTATATTTTAGAAAAATTTCATAATTTAAAAAAGACATTTAAATCAGTTTACAGAATAACTTTGGCAGCAAAAATTATTTAGTATTATTAATATTCTATTATACTGTTTATTCGTATTTTGAAGTAACTTTTATTTTTATGTTTTCAGTTTTCATTTTAATTCTTTGTTTAGGTTTTTAATAATTTTGTTATGTGCTTTATTTATTTATTTATTTATTTCTATGTAGCTTCATTTTTTCATTCATTTTTGCTGTGCACCATCTAACTGTTTTTGAAACAAGCCATTGCAGTACTGCAAGTATTGCTGGATTTTGTATGATAAATTGCTTGTGATGTCTACTCATGTGTAAGTCTCTCTGGATAAAAGCATCTGCTAAATGTAAATACCAGGCTTCCTTAAACCCCAATTAGTAGGCTGATCCTCTTAAAAATGTAGTCATGTACATCCCTAATACACATGAGTTCATAATAAGGTGTTTGGCCCACCTGTCCAGTGCTTGGTCCAGTGACTGACAGCTGCTGGAAAGTGACCCATTCGCACTCCCAAACGGCTCCATGATCTACAGACAAAAAATAAATGACATCATTTCATTGCATTACATTTTTCATTATAGTTTGTGCATCTGAAACTTAGCCCTCTACAAGACTGACGTAAGATTTTCCATGAGCCAATGCCCATAATATGTCCGAGCTTCCTTTTCCCCAGACTGTTATAAAGTGCACAGTTACACAGAACAGTGACATCTTGTACACTTTATACAAGTCAAAGTGCAGGACGAAAGAACATGAGAGACCATAAAAATCATAAAAAGTATTGTTTCTTTTCATTGAACCTTTTACACCTTGTTAACCCAGGAACCGATTATTACATTCAATAATAATTTTATAATTAAATATTACATTATAAATATTTTTTCTCTATTATTTTCTATAAATATTATTAATTATAGGGAGCCCTATTACTTGCACATAACTATAATAATAAAGGTTACAATTAAAACCAAAGCCCAAACTATTAATTGCTATTAAGTTTTAGATATTGTGACTATTTTCTTCACCAAGATAGTATAGAATGTTAATACTGTTAATTTTTAGGTTGTTTATAGCATAAATATTGCCAAAACACTTAAGTTAATAATATTGCTAACAATACTCATAACCCAGGGCTGAAAATTATGACTAAATATCGTCGTCAACGAACCTTTATCATGTGACGAAAACGAGATGAGACGCAACGTAAATGCTGGTCATGTGACGATGACTATAATTAAATGTATAATGCAATATTGTTGACGAATAAAAACGAGACTAAATGTGGTTTACAAAATAAAAACTATGCTAAAATGTCTCTTCATTTTCGTTGACCAAAACGAGACGAAACGAAATGTTATAACGTTATTTCGTCTCGTTTAGTCACGTTATTATTATTATTTTGCAGTATTTCTGTTTCCTGTGTCTCACTTCAGGGGCTGCATCAGGTCACTTCCTCAAGCCCCACTCGTGGCATTATTTAGACCAGTGTTTCCCAACCGGGGGGCCGTGTAAAAAATCATTTTTTTAATATTTTTAAATTGCTAAAATGTTCAAAAAAGCAACTATTATATAATATCCATTTCTAATGTCGCCAATAATTAGAGATGCACTGAAAAAACTAAAATTAAAACAGGCCGCCAAAAACAACACTAGTGTGAATCATTGCTTAAAGTGTTAAAAGTGTCTATTTAGAAAGAAGTGGTATGTGTGAAAGCACATTGTGAAAGGTCTTGATGTAACTTTAATCACAGCTGTAATCTACAGCTCCAATCCAACGCTTACATTGGAGTCGAGCATTTCTGGGATGAACTCTCCTTCACTGTGGATGCTGGTGTAGGACCCCTGCCGAGCGATCTGCTGTTGTTCTTCTGGTACGCTGCCCGGAGGGGGTGAGGAGCGGCCCGTGTTCAGAGATCCTGCAGACAGACGGAGTGAGGTTAGCATGACACATCACGCAGTCTCATGCAACAACAAAAAAAAACGTCTGGAATAGTAATACTTCCACGGCAACTAATAACAGAGTGCAGGATGCCAGAAACAAAAAGTCGAGCAGATTGAAATGAATAATGACTGGGATGGAAGCGTGGTGTGACTGACAGGTACGTGTGAACAGAATGTGAGACGAAGAGGCAAAACAGAGATGATGGAGAGAAACGAACAAAAGGAGGGTTGGACAGCGCTAATGGAGGATGAATACAGAGAGAGGAGTTTAATGAAAAAAAAGGCAATAACAATTAAAAGAGAATGTGATAGGAAAGGATGGGGAAGAAAGCGTGAAGGGACTATTGTTCTCATTTCTTTCTAATTTGTATATCCACTTACATTTTCTTTTACCTGTAAATTCAGTTTTATTCTTTAACACTATGAAATACTTGTAATGCCTACAATGCACACTAAAACTAACACACTAAAGTGTATTATTTAAAATGTTATGTATAGTGTGTATATATATA